AGATACTGTAAGATGCACCAATGTACTGAGGCCGTCTGTCAATGCCACAGACACATTCTTGCCTGAGCAAGCCTTCGCCCAGGCATCCTTGGCATACGTTGTCGCCTCTGTGAGGTCCGGGTATGGCCAGTCTGTAGCTATAAGGCTCCGATAATGGCGCTGAGCGACAACAAGGAGCGACTGCTCAAGCATAGAGAAATCGCCGGCAGTCAAGCGGCCACGAGAACCGCTGCCTGACATCGTCATCTTCTGCTTCTTCACTACATGTGTTGTCTCGATGGCGATCGTTTCGGGACGGGCGCGCATCTTCGCAGTGGATGCGGGGGACGAGCGAGGTGCGGGGACATCTTCGGAGCCATGGCGAGTGAGAGGCTGCCCATGCTCATGGTAAGGAAGCGCATCCACATCGCGATGTCGGGACGGATGGGGGGTGCCAGGGCGTTCACGGGCATTGCTCCGAGCAGCTGGGGTCACCTGAGACAGCGCACGAGCTGATTGCTGCACCGACTCACCCATCGGGACAGCCTCATCGTCATAGTCGTCCCAAATGTGGGCAATCCGCCCACCGGGTGGAACATGCCCAGCCCGACGAACCAGAGTGCGCTTAGGAGGCTGGAATATGATAATGAACGTAGGAAACAATCAGAGGACAAATAGTATTTACCTTGGGCTGACGAGGAGAGCCTGGCTCCTCATTCTCATCGGTTATCCCTGTGTTATCACGGTGATTGATCCTCGGGCGCCGCGGTTGTTCCTCGATGCCAACAGCTGGAGTAAACGTGAACTGCCATGGGATTAGTATCTGGCATCGAAGCTAATAAGAGAGAACTTACTTGGTTGACGGCATTGACCTTTGAAATCGTATTGTCGGCGTATTCTTCTTCAGATTCAATGCCTGCCAGTAGGTGCCAGATATATAAGTAATACAAGAGCATGCCAGAAACGGTCTACTTGCCAGAGTCTTCTTCCACAAAGCCACTAGCTTCTTCATTGGCTTGACGTGCACGCAAAGCCGTGACTTGTGCCTTCTTAGTTGCAGCATTTGCCTTTTCCTGCTTGTCGTTAACTGTTTAGTAGAATGGGGTGAGTTCCCGCAGCCATCACAACGTGTGGATAACATACCGGCATCCGCCTTTTTGGCAGTCATCGTGACCCGTCTACCGCTGCGCGTTGCTGGGATGCTAGTTTCGTCGGCAGTGCCCAGTGCCTGAACCGTCGTCACAGAGCTGGCAACGGGGACGGTGGCCAACGAAGCGCCTCGGCGTCCACGAGTATTCATAATCGTGACGGGCGGGACCGTACCCTGCGCATTCCCAGTAGAGGCCAAGGTCGGGCTGACATCAGTATGCGGAGGCTGAGTGGGGATAGCGTTGGAGGTTTTGCGAGGCATTAGAACAAGTGAGGATTGAAAGGGCAATAGGAGCTCTTGAGTGTACTGCAAGTGGGGGTTGTTGAGTCGGGAGGGGGTGTCCGCACGTCTATTATAAAGTCTCCAGGGGCCCCCTCATTATATAGTGAACCTTATCTCTTGAATTCAGCACAGCAATAGCGCGAAAGCCAATCAAACAACGATCAACATACCTCAACGCGTCCGCGACACGCTCACGTGCATGAACGGGTCCGGTTGCAATTGGAATTGGGGCGGGCAAGCCGAAACTTGACAGCGGCAGCCAGCGCCGAGGCGGGTGGTCGCATGGCGGGCGGGTAAACCACTGCGAACATTGAGCTGACTGAGCGCAACCTTCTGCTCGTCAGCGTGATCCCTTACTCGTGAATATGCGTCCTCATACCTGTAACTTCTGCAACCGTCAGATTGCGACTGCGAATGGCGTGAAGAAGCACATACAACACTCCCCTAAATGCTATGAGGAGTGGAAGAAGCAGCTCGCCCGCTTCACGGTCAATGTCTTCGACGTTAGGGCAGATGATTCATCTGTACGCGCGCCTGGTCAACCCATGTCAGATTCTGAGCTAGAAGATGTTCCCGAGGTACACTATGCAGACTCACCGGAGCCTGCGGACCATGGCAATGCACCCGAGGCTAGCGGGGATCGTCGTGCTCGAGTCGAGGAGGTAGAAGATGAGGGCGACAAACCGCCATCTTCTTATGGGCGGTATGCCGAAGCATATCCTGAAGCAGGGCGCGCTGGTGCGGTATATCCTGATAGGGCTCCTACGAAATTCGAGGACATCTTGGGAGACCAGAAGGCACGGGGCGCAGGTTTGTACGATCCGTTTGCAGACGAGCAGGAGTGGGAGTTGGCGCGATGGTTAGCAACACATGTGGGCCAAACGGCCACGGAGGAGTTTCTTAAGCTTTCCATCGTGAGTAAGAGCTGAGAAGATGATTGTTTGAACTCTAACCTTACGTATTAATACCTAGATCCAGGAGCGAATAGCCCCGACATTCCATAACAATCGAGCGTTTCAACGACAGCTTGATGGATTGCCGACGAAGGCCGTGAACTGGGCCTGTCACACAGTCAAGATCGCCGGGGATAGAAAGGATGAAGACGGGGAGTTTATGAAGGAGGAGGTTGAGCTGTGGTCGCGAGATCCTGTTGAATGTGTCCGTGAGCTGATGGGGGATCCGACATTCCGGGATGTCATGGCGTACGCACCGGAACGAGTATATCAAGATGAGAGAGGGCACATACGAATTTTGGACGAGATGTGGACAGCCGATTGGTGGTGGAAGGTCCAGGTATGGCGCCATCCCTGTTCCTGGTTTTCCATTCTCACACTGAAATACTTCCCATAGGAGCGATTGCCCAAAGGGGCTACAATAGCGCCGCTCATTCTGTCCTCTGACAAGACAAAGCTCTCACAATTCCGGGGGGATAAGTCCGCATGGCCGGTTTACCTGACAATTGGAAATATCGACAAGGCGACGCGGCGACAGACGAATGCCCATGCCACAGTCCTGATAGGATACTTGCCCGTTGCCAAACTCGACTGTATGTCTGAAAAAATGCGATCGTTGGCCGGTTATCGACTCTTTCATGAATGTATGGCTTGCCTCCTCGAGCCGCTGATTGAGGCTGGACGCAACGGTGTTGACATGACATGCTCGGATGGCTATGTCCGGCGCGTTCACCCCATCCTGGCTGCATACGTCGCTGACCATCCCGAGCAGTGCCTTGTGGCATGCTGCAAGGAAAACTTCTGTCCGAAGTGCCGAGTGCCGCCAGACAAACGCGGTGAGATGAACTTCGATATCCCATCAAGAAACGCAGGATGCACCATTACAATCCTCAAACATCACTCTACGGGACGACGTGTGACAGCTTTCCAAGACGAAGGTCTGCGACCTGTCTATGAACCCTTCTGGGCCGAACTCCCTCACTGCGACATATTCTCCTGCTTCACCCCAGATCTGTTGCACCAGCTCCATAAGGGGGTCTTCAAAGATCACCTCGTCCAGTGGTGCGTCCGCATCCTTGATGAAGAGGAAGTCGATTCGCGGTACAAGGCCATGGCACGGCATCACTCAGTGCGGCACTTCAAAAATGGGATATCATTTGTTTCGCAGTGGACTGGGACCGAACATAAGGAAATGGAGAAGGTTTTCGTACCAATGCTAAGTGGCGCTATTCAACCTCGAGCGCTACAGGCGGCACGTGCGGTTGTTGACTTCATTTACTTCGCATCATTCCATCAGCATACTTCGGAAAGCCTGGGACGCATGGAACAAGCACTGGCGGACTTTCATGAGTACAAGGACATCTTTATAACCCTAGGACGGCGAGACCACTTCAACATACCAAAGCTACACTCGATGCTACACTACCTGGCGGCCATTCGACTTCTTGGTTCTTGCGATGGCTACAATACGGAATCGCCGGAGCGGCTACACATCGACTACGCGAAGGATGCTTATCGCGCAAGCAACAAGCGTGACTACACGGAGCAGATGGCGCGCTGGCTTTCGCGGCAAGAGGCAGTCACGGAGTTCGACAAGTATATCAGGTGGGCGATAGCCGGCCCTCTCGTGGCTCAGGATTCAAGTGATGAGGACACGAACTCGGATGTCGACGCCAGTCATGGTGAGGCTGCTGACGAATCAGACTCAGAGCTGGAGGATGAATCGGACAGTGATGAACGAGTCGCGCGCGCTCCAGCTGCACCACGACTGGCGGTTGCGACGTACCTTGATCACCAGCTATCCCTTCCTCGACACCCCAGCGTCCCATCGGTAACTGTCGACTGTATTCAGCGAGACTACAAGGCCGAGTTCTTCCTGGATGCGCTGAGTGTCTACCTGAACAAGATGCGTCCTGCCGACGCTCGACACCTGTTATCTCCTAACGGTGTTGATCGCTTTGACGTGTACAAACAAGTTACAATTGTGCGGCCCAGGGTCCCGGTGATTACGAATGCACTTAAGCTTCGGGACAAGGTGCGCGCTGTTCCTGCAAAGCGCGCGAAACGAGGGACAGCCCTCATCCCCGGACATTTCGACATGGCTCTAGTTCGGGTGGAGGGTGTGTCGTCATTGAACCCTCATACAGCTGGAACCTTCCTGGAAGGTATGTTGACAGTCCGGATCCATCTTATATTATCTTCTAATCTATTTGCTAGGTCTCCAAGCGGCTCAGGTGCGGCTCTTGTTCCAGCTGCCGGAATACCTCAGGTATCATCCTCGGCAGCCAGTGGACTTAGCATATGTTGAATGGATGACACCGTTCAGCGCGCAAGATCCACTAACATACACACATTCCGTATCCCGCTCAACACGCCGTGGTGGGCAGCGTAATGCGGAGATCATTCCGATTAGCCGGATCGTACGTAGTTGTCACTTGATCCCTAAGTTCGGGACGGAGTGCAATCGTGCATGGACTGCTGACATTGCTGTGGAGAACTGTAAGTCATTTATCTTGAACCGGTGGCTGGATGTTGCAACCTTTTATGAGTTCCAGCCACGCGATTTCTATGCACTACGTCTGTAACTTAGATCATACTTCATGTAGACCAGACATAGCTAGCTCTCTTGTTTATTCCTGCCCCAAGTGGGGGCTGGACGGTCATTTCTAGTATCTGGAAGTAATTGTTAGGTTGCAATAGGATGTTTAGGACCTAAATTGAACCTTAGGCACCCATCCGAGAGGCCACAGGTCGTCACCCCAACAATGTGACACAGTCCATGTGTCACACGATTCATTGCTATCACGGCACACACGCGCTGGGACAGCGCGGATACCTACAGTTTATGAAGCTCGCTATTGGTAGAGTATATATATACATCCTTCTGTGGCCTCTATACGAGGCCTGTCCTATATCAACCTATCTAACCTATGGTAACCTATGGAAATCAGGGCTGCCTATACTGAATTTCGCGTTTCCTGATGCACGGCTATCTCGGTTTGCCCAGGCTGTGCACCGGTGTCATCAAGATTCACAAAAATTGCCGGAACTGTGGGTCCATATTTTCAATATCATTCGAGCAACAATAAGAACGCAGTGTTCCGTCCCTTCTGCTGGTACAGCATGCCTCGTTGCGGGAGCATGAGGCCCTTCTTCAGTTTGCCTGCAGTTTCAGTTTTGCCGTGTCGGCGTCGACCTCACTCATCACTGTACCCGGTACGCTTTTCCCTAGCGAACGCAATTGCCACCCGAACCAGTTACTCGCCACGTCGCGCCTTGTCGACCATGCAGCATTCTCATAACGAGCTTTTTGAGTACACGTCAGGGCGATGGATGTAAGTCTCTTGGATGCTATTCTGTAGGGCCTACGTCTAAGCCATAATCTGATTTGTTCAGTATCAACGACGCTCTGCGACGCTCAGAAAGGAGACGTGTCTTCAACCTGGCTGGGTTACGTCGACTTGCAGCCCAATCGGTTGATCGGAGTCCTGATGAAGTTGTCGACTTGGTAAAACTCGCGGAGGGAGGGTTTAACCGTATCTTTCTTATCACAATGCGCGATGGTTTCCAAATGGTGGCGCGAATCCCGTACCCAATCACAGTTCCCAAAACCTTCGCCGTCGCTAGTGAAGTGGCAACTATGGACTTTCTCCGTTCCTATGGACTGCCTATTCCTAAGGTGTACGGGTACTCGTCCGCGCCGGACAACGCGGCCGAGACTGAGTATATCTTCATGGAATACGTGCATGGCACCAAATTGAGTGACGTATGGCTGGACTTAGACGAAGAGGAAATCGTCTCAGTCATGCGTGAACTTGCCCAGCTCGAATCGAGGATGATGTCCATTATTTTCCCGGCCGGTGGAAGCCTGTACTACACCCAAGACTTGCAGAAGGCAACCGGGAAGCCGGGTATTCCGCTCGAGGACGGACGTTTCTGCGTTGGTCTGGATACACGAGTGCCCTTGTGGTATGGCAGGAGATCGCAGCTCGACATAAACCGGGGACCATGTACGTTGGTCTTGGCCTTCTACAGTCTTTCCTGGAACTTAACCGTCACTACAGACGAAAACCCCGAGGCAGCACTGGTAAGAGGGGCATACAAGGAACTGGCTTATCTGGAACGATTCGGTCAACCGCTGCTTCCATTCCAGCCTATGAGGAGGGCCGCGTATCAGTACCAGGAGCAGTTACCGTCCGATCACATGGAAAATCTGAAGCGCTATCTCCTCATCGCACCGTCACTCGTCCCCAAGGATCCCGCCCTCTGTCAGTTCCGTATCCGCCATCCCGACCTCCAGCAGAGTAATATCATCGTTTCAAGGTCCGGACGCAATTGGCAAATTGTGGGCCTTTTAGACTGGCAACATGCATCAGTTCTGCCGCTGTTTCTCCTTGCCGGCGTACCTGAACGTTTCCAGAACTACGGCGATCTTGTATCACACTACATGGCTACGCCATCGCTGCCGGAGAATTTTGACGAGTTGAACGATTCGGAACAGAGAAGAGCGAAGGAACTCTACCTTCGTCGCCTCATCCATTACCATTACGTTAACAAAACGGAGGAGTTCAACGAACTTCATTATGCGGCGCTGACGGACCCCGTGGGCATGCTTCGCCGCCGCCTCTTCTCGTACGCCAGTGACCCGTGGGAGGGTGAGACTCTGGGGCTAAAAGTTGCGCTAACAGAAGCAACGGAGAACTGGGAGACACTTTCGGGGGGAGGAGCACCGTGTCCAGTCGTATTCGACGCCGAAGACGTGCGCCAGACGATGAAGTTGGATGAAGTCCAGCGAGAAGCGGACGAGACTCTGGAGGGGATCCGGTACTTGGTCGGCTTCGGGCCGGAGGGCTGGGTGCCCGCCGAACACTATGTGAAGACTGTTGAACGGACCAGGGAGATGAAGAAGGATGCACTGGCCTCAGCCGAGACGGACGCAGAACGAGATGAGATCGAGAAGCACTGGCTTTTTGACGACATGGATGAAGAAAAATATAATTGATGAAGCTACTGCGGATGCAGGTAGACACTCTGGAACCATCTGACTCTTCAAAGATCAGTGTAACGAGCAGCCTCGCGTGCATATTACACGGTCACTCCTTTCTTCTGTACGATGATTGACTCGAGTTAGAACGTCTATATCCTGATACATAATGTTGCCCCCCCTTGTCCTTGCCCCGCTTGTTTGCTCAAGTCATGGATAGGCATGAGCCTTGACATGTTGCTGTTTCGAACCCCTAGTGGGGTGAAGATTGCAAGATTCGGCAAAGCAGCGGTAACTTCCGCGGGATGGTCCAAGTCGTAGCGCGCGTTCCCGCTTAGTCCGTGGGTCTCCCGGAGAACGACGACCACGAAGAGTCTCCGGACGCAGCGAGGATCCCTCGGTGTCCTCAAGCAATGTGCGGTGCAAACGCAGCAGCCCTTTCTGCCCTCGTGACACCATCCGATGGGTGTGGCCAGTACCCTCCATTCCCTGCATACGCGGATCAGTGCACATTTTATAGTCAGGGATGCTTCTAGAGCCCGCTGTTCCTCGAAGATCGGTAGGGGTGCCGACGCTTGCAATGGGTCGAGGGTCCGCGTCTCCAATGATCCTGGAACGTATGTGGCTATATATATCGAAGATGTAAAGTCACAGTTCCGGTGGCACTGCTCGTCTGCTACCCTCGATGTCGGGTTCGAGGCGTTCTTCAAGGAATGCCATAGGAGTTTCTACGACCCACGATGCTCTTGATGCGCAACGTCGTATGAGTAGAATTATATAATTATCGGTCTCCGTGGGCGCCATAGCGCACCTGACCCTCCCAAAGAACAAGGCTTATAAGAGTGGACGATCGAGCAGCGCGTCCACTCTTATAAGACTCGAAACGCGTTTCTCCTAACTCCGGCGGAAGCACCGGGAACACCAGCGGCCTTGTAGGATATAGAGTAGGGAGCCTCCAGGAGACTCCGGCGGTAGCACCGGCCCCAGCGGTAGCATCGCGTCGTGGACCGGTGGACGAAAATAGACAGCTGCCTAAACGGGATTGATGGCGCCCTCCGCCGTGATGACATCATATTGCCGCCGTGCCCGACGCTGGTCGTCATTGTTCCCGACAACGTCGGCGATAGGTAGCATGTAGTTCCTCAAATAAAATCGTATAAAATGCAATAAATTCTAGATATAATCTACAGTTTAGACTATGTATGCTGGTAATACATATAAGGTATCCATATGACACAGTCCCTTGGTATCTATGTGTGCCCGGGGTATACATCCTGAAAAAGGGAAATATTCGATTTAGAGCTAGCCCTGAGAGAATATAAAGCATGTATGTCAGTTA